GGGCGGGGCTTGAGTACGCGGGGAGTCATGGGAAATTAAGAGGGAATTGGGCCGGTACTATGCCTGGATAGGGAAAGAGGTCCTCACCTGAAACGGCCAGACTAAGTGTTTTGACTTCGCCAGGACGGCTGATGGACTCAACTTTCCGTAGGAACCGGGGAAGGGGCTGGCTACCCCCGATTCTGCTCAGGGTCCAGTCTCTTCCGGATACTCCCGGAAGCTGTTTGAACCAGAGACAGGAAGTCCCGCCTCCTCGCCTTGCACTGATGACGCAAAGTCTACGTAAGGCGGGCTGACGTAAACGTGTTCTTTAAAAGGGACAGGCTTCTCAGCGGAAGGAGGGGCGGAGTCATTGTTGGCGGGATCAAGGCCCTCCGGAGTCAGGGACACGCCTAGTAGGCGGGGTCCGAGGAGCCCTGGGCTGAGGGGCGGGGTCAGGAGAAGGGTGGAGGAGGTGCTTGAGAGGGGGCGTGGTTTCGGGTCTGGAAGATTGCGCGGTCTGGCACCGCTGGGCAGAACCCGAGCAGCGCTTCCCTCTCTCCAATCTTGTCCTTCCGGCTTTGCTCCCAGCCTCCCTGTCTGACAGGATTTATTACTGCTTCGAGTTAGCGAGATCAGTAAGGTCTGATCTCTCTGAGCTCCAAGAAGTCAGGGCTAGTCGGGGGACAAACTGGGAGACAATTTAGTTACCATCAGATGCTCCGAGAATGCGGCCCCGGGTAGTGTGGGACTTAGGTATAATGCAGGAGAGCGTTTCAAAGAAGGCACAGATTCAGCGCAGGTTTAGAATACAAGAAAAGCGGGAGCCCAAGAAAAGGTTCAGCTTCCAAGAACTTATCCAGATTTTTGCAATTAAATTTTTTTCTAAAGAAGTGCTGGGGTTTTTGTTGTTTTCTGGTAAACTGTTGACTGAAGTATAAATAATGCAGACGAGCTCGGTGATTTTCGCCAACAGAACACACAGGTGAAACTAGCATTTGGATCAAGAAATACAAAATGACTCATAACTCCTTTTCCTGTCTTTTTCCAGCCACTAACTTAGAAAGAGTAATCACAGATTAGTTTTCACTGTTTCTGTGCTTTGTGTAAGTGGAATCAAATAGTATGTACTCTTTGGTATCTGGTTTTTAAGCCTTTTTATTATGGTAAAATATACATAAAAGTTACTACTTTAACCATTTTAAGTGGCTAATTCAGTGGCATGAACTACACTCACAATGTTGTATACCCATCACCACTGTGCCCATTCCTCCTCCCACCTCTATTCTATGTCTATGAATTTGCCTATTCTAGGTATCTCATGTAAGTAGAATAATACAATATTTGTCTTTTCGTGTCTGGTTTCTTTCTTTTTCTTTTCTTTTTTTTTTTTTTGAGAGAGAAACATCAACCTGACGGGATCTGTGTTCTGACTGTGTATCAAACCGGCAACCTGGCCCTACCGGGTTTGGCTTAGTGGTTAGAGTGTTGGCCCACAGACCGAAGGGTCTGGGGTTCAGTTCTGGCCAAGGGCACATACCAGTTGCAGGCTCCATCCCCAGCCCCCAGTTGGGGCTCTTGTAGGAGGCAATCAATCAATGTTTGTCTTACATAGATCTCTCTCTCTCTCTCTCTCTCTCTCTCTCTCTCTCTCTCTCTCCTTTCCACTCTTTCTGAAAAGCAATGGAAAAATATCCTTGGGTGAGGAGTAAAAAAAAACCCACAAAAAAACCCCGGCAACCTTGGCATATTGGAACAATGTTCTAACCAACTGAGCTGCCGGGCCAGGACTGGCTTATTTCATTTAGCATGTTTTCAAGGGTCATTCATGTTGTAGACCATATCAAAATATCATTCCTTTTTAAGGTTAATATTCCATTATTTGTATATACCACGTTTTCTTTATCCATTCATCTGTTAATGGACATCTGTGTTCTTTTAACCTTTGGGCTATGGGAATAATGTTGCTATGAACATTGACGTACAAGTATCTGTTTGAGTCACTACTTTCACTTCTTTTGTCTGGCTTCTTTCAATAGTTTGTTTTTTGAGATGAAAGGTACAGTTTTAATTTCTGCATATATGTACTTTTTTGGGTTTAAAGCTTAGTGCTTTTATTTTGAAGGACACAGGATGGGGCATGACATCATAGAACAGCTCAACAGAATTTTGAAGAATGAGTAGAGACTTACCAAGCAAAGTTCCAGACAGACAATAGCAGGTTCAAGGGCTCTCAAATATTTCAGGGAATGAATAAACTAATGAGTTGAACCACTGTTAATGCTTTTGAGAGTTTATTATGTGCTAGGTGTTGTGCTATATATATTTATATGATCTTATTGTCAATATTTGGTCCCTTGCCCAACTGGTGTGGCTCAGTGGTTGAGCGTTGGCCCATGAACCAGGATATCATGGTTCCACTCCCGGTGAGGGTACACGCCCGGGTGAGGGCTCGATCCCCAGGAGGGGGCCTGCAGGAGGCACTCTGTGTTCCCCAAGCTGCATGAACTGACTTCTGCCATAACATTTATCACACTACATTGTCATTTGCCATTTTTCTGTCTTACCAAACTCCTTGAAGACAGGAACTGGGTTTTTTCTTTTATTATTCCAGTATCCCCCAAGTGTATCCCAGTGCCTGCATGTATCAGGTACTTGATAAAGATTTATTAAATGAATTACGGATGGATTCAGAGAAGTTAGGGGGAAGAGATGGGGAATTTGAGAGAATTCTTTCATCTGCCAACCAGAGGAGAAGTCTAAAGAGTGAAGAAAATGGATGGAAGAAGGAAAGATTGGCTAGGGATGAGACAGACCTAGAATGCTCAGTGGCTGGGATGATGGGTTGGAAAAAGTGGAGGTTGAGTCTGTCAAGAGATGCATTTTGTGAGTGTATACAGCAAAGTACAAGATGCAGTTAAGGGTGTTTTGAAAGTGGTGCTTTCAGGGTTGGTTTTTTTTTCCTGGAGAGGAAAAGCGAGGAAAGAAAGAATTCTGCGGTTGGGACTATATTACCGCACAAAACTGGTTTCTTTTAAATATAATAATTATTCTTATAATTAACAGAGTATTTTAATGGATCTTAACTCCATTGGACATTTTTCATAATGTAGTTTATGTAAATGATGTTTATTTTTCTTAAACTACTGAACTTAGGTGTTTTTATTCCTTTATGTTTAATAAGATGGCTATAGAATGGTGAATCTATTTGTAAATCTTGGGATGCTGCCTTAACTAAATATGTTTATAGTAAATCTGTTTTACTATAAATATGCAGTGGAGCATCAACCTAGGATCTAGGAGATCACAGTTCGATTCCTGGTCAGGGCGTACTGGAGGCAGCTGATCAATGACTCTCATCATTGATGTTTCTCTCTCTCCTCCCTTCGTCTCTCTGAAATCAATAAAGATATATATATATATATTTTAAAAGTGCTTAGGGGGATAAGATTGGTGGTGCTTAAGGGTACAAACTTGTAATGAGTAGTAAATAACCCACTCTAATGCACAGCATGATGAATATAGTCTATAATGCTGCACTATAATGATGTAATATGATAAATATTCCTTCAGTGGCAATCATATTATAATATATAAGTGCATCGAAGTAATACTGCACATTTTTGTTTTGTTTTGTTTCTTAATCCTCACCAGAGGCTATTTTTCCATTGTTTTTCAGAGAGAGTGGAAGGGAAGGAGGGAGGGAGGGAAGGAGGGGGGGGAGAGAGAGAGAGAGAGGGAGGGAGGCAGAGAGAAACATTGATGTGAGAGAGACACATCGACTGGTTACCTCCTGCACTTGCCCTAACGGGAGCGGGAAGTGAACCCACAACCCAGGTACGTTCCCTTGACTGGAAACCGAACCTGAGACCCTTCAGTGCTTGGGCCAGAGCTCTAACCACTGAGCAACACCAGCCAGGGCAACACTGCACATCTTAAATTTACAAATTGCAACGTCACATTTACCAAATAAAAAAATTTGTTTTCAAATTAAAATTTTTTTAAAGACATGCAAAAAGTGCTCCTTGCCTAACCACTAGCTGTGATTTGTTTCATGTTTGCCAAGCTGATGGGCAAAGGACGTCTGTCCCTTTCCCCCGCACTCATTGGATTACTTGTGAGTTTGCACGTTTTTCATATTTCATCCACTAGGTTTGCAAATGAACTCTTTGGACCTTTTGCCTTTTCTTCCCTATTTTTTTTTTAACTTCACAAGAACCCATGGGTACCCCTTTGTAAAAAATTCAAATACAGATCATTAAAAGCCCCACCGGCACAGTCCCTCTGTCTCCCCAAGGAAAATTCTTGGTGTGTGCCTGCCTGCCCTTTTTCTGTTCCTCTACAGTCCTGGGGCTAGGTTTTTTTGCTGTACATATTGTATTCCACGCTGTCTTGAAACTTTTCCCAAGGCAATATGTGTGCTGTTCACTTGGAATCCCTCCCCAGTTCTTCCTGCCGCGGGCCGGGTACTACCCTCGGTCGGGGCTGAGCTGTATCCAGAGCATGGGCCGGCGGCCGCCTCCCGCCTGCCGGGCTGTCGCGGTCAGCGCCGGGGTGAGTGGTCCCGGGCGCGCCAGCCTGTTGTGTAACTGCGGAGCAGTGCTTATGGGTACTGTTAATTGCCCACCAAACAGGCAATTTCCTTTCCCACCAATAGGATGTGAAAGAACTTATTTCTCCATATCTTCATAGGCTCTGCATACTACCCATCTTTAAAATTTCCCCCAATCTAGTGGAATATCATATTGCTGTTTCAATTTGCACTTTCCTGACTGCTGGTGATGCCGAGAATCATTCATTTACTTGACAGATATATGAGTGTCTACTTTCTGCTAAGCACTGTAGCGGCACCAAGTCAACAATGGTAATAAAACAGATGTTATTCTTCCCCTCACAGATCAAGGGAATAAAATCTTTTAGCTGCATTTCCAGTATTTTGTCTTTTACTTGTATTTATGATTTGGTGTTTCCATAAAACTTTTTCTGTATCCAGATCTATTAATCTTTTCTCCTACCCACAAATAATATACATAATCACATGTATCTTTTTTCTTTACACAGCTATCTTGTTGTAGCTGTAAATATAACAGAGAAAGCTGAGCTCGGTGGGGTCAGCCTGCTGTAAGAAGATGGACAGCTCAGCATCCTCCACTGAAAACAAGGCTCCCAGCTTGGACCCAGGACTAGAGAGGATTTCACTCTCTTCTCTAGGGCCTTTTGCTCTGCGAAACTGAAGTGAAAATGCCCAGAAAGAATAGGTTGCTGCTCTGCATAATGAGGTAAAAGCCTGTCTTTGTGTTGGTCACAGGGCATCTCAGGTACAACTCCACAGAGGAGGGGAGGCTGGGCAGCTGCTGCAGGCCAACCCCAGGACTTCTGACTTGTCTTTACCGCATGACTCCAAATGGTGATGGCACTGGGGATCCCAGGATCCCGCGGCAAAAGGACAGGGAACCCCTCCTTGGCTCCCTCCCACGGTGGGTACCACAGGCTCAGGGACTGGGATGGGGCCTTGTGTTGTTCTTATACCCTTTTTCTATCATAACAGTTGCTCAGTGCAGAAAATTCGAGAACCGCAGAAGACAACAAAGCAGAGGAAATAAACACACAGAGAGAGGTAGTTCAGCCACATTTCAACCTGACAATATTCACACATTGCTCCTGTGCACAAATCATTTATTTGCGTTCGTAAAAACTAGCTTGGCTCGAAAAGCTTCCTCTTAAAGATGAATAGTGGTACATTTGACTCTGGAACCAGAGGAGGAAGTGAGAGAGAGAGGGGACAGCTGGTGGCTGGTCCTCTTGTCACAGACCCTCAGAGTCATGAGTGTAGTGACCACTGTTTAAGACACTATGCATCACTGGGGTGGGGGTGGGGGCACAAAACAACCATAAATGAGTCCCAGGCATCATGCATTTACTCCTCCCTCAACAACCATTTACAGAAATGCTTCTTCAGGGAATATCTTGCCAGTCTCAGCCTAACTGATGCAGACACAGGCTCTTAAATAGGTATGACACCAAGGAAGGCTACCTGCCAGGTTGATCAAATAGTGCTACTGGGCTATCTTAAGGATAATATCAGCTTCAATCAGGGGAAGAAAAAAATGTGGGGAGGGTATACCAAGGGGGGGGGGAACACCTGGAAACAAAGGCTTTCAAGAGCATGGGTTTCAAAACCAGTCAGTGAGGTCCTCCCTTCAAATGACAGTGACAGGTTAGGCAGAGGCAGTACAGCTACAGGCAGGGTCTGTCATTCTTTAGGAAGTCGACTGTTCATATACGTTGGGTGGCAGAAGGTGGGGGCATGCAACAAGGATTCCCACCTCCTGGCTTGGGCCTGGGTGGATGGATGGGCCATCACCCACTTAGGCAAAGGGGAGGAAGTTGGCGAAGGTTGAGCCTACAGACCTTCCCATCCGAGAGAGGAGCTGAAGCTCAGGTCAGGTTGGAGGTCAGCAGTTGGCTCAAGAAGCCAGTGGAGGGATGAGCTTGCCCGGGAGGGTATGCGGAGTGTAGACAGAGGCCCAGGGACTGGTCCTCTGGGGATGGGGGGGTAAGACGGATGGAGAAAGCAGGACAAGCTGCGGGAACAGCCTGGCATGGTGTTCACTGGATGCGTCCCTCCACACGCAGCAGCAGGTAGTCCCTGAGGAGCTGGGGCAGTGGGAGGCGGGCGGCGGCCTGTCGGCAGCGGTTACCCAGCTGAGCGCGCACAGCCAGCCGGGCCAGGTGCTGCAGCCGCCTCGGCTGGTTCACCATGGCCCGGGCCGAGCTGTAGAAGGCTTCATGCTCCTAGGCCAGGAGTGGAACAGGGTTAGATGGCCCAATACCCTTGACTCTGCCTTTCCAACTGGGGGCCACCTAGTGGCAGGACCCTAGGATTTTGCAATGTAAAATTTGGTACATCCTGAAGGGCTCAGATTCAGAGCCAGAGAGGCCCTGCAGGGGTCATGGGAGCTGGAACCACACTGCAGAGCCCTGTCTCAGCGATGTCTGCACCCACCCCCACTCCAAAGATGCTGGCACAGTGCCCACTGAATCAGAGATGCCTAATAAATGTCTGTGTAGATGCAGGTGAGAGGCTGGGGAGGTGTATAGAATTAGAAGTTGTTCTGAGGGAACCTAGGACTCAGCTTCACTCTGCTTGTCCTCCAGCCTGGGCCTCCTGGGCCTCCCTCTAGGAAGCCCATTCTGGAGCGACAGGTCTAGGGCCCAACCTTCCTCTCCATCTCCCCCAGAGTCCAGGATGGATCTGTAATCCCATACCTGCCACAGCTCTGGGATTACTGCCTCCACCCAGGTATCACAGGATGGGACACAAGGGTAGGCATTAAGCAGGACTTCCAGGGCCCGAGGGAGGTTGGCACAGTGTTTCAGCATCTAGGAATCAAAAGAGGGTCTCATGGCACCATGCCTCTCCCAACCAGGGGCAGATCCAAGTCCAGAGAGGAAGGTCTGAGTCTCTCCTCATACTTTTCCATGCTCGGTTTACCCCACCTTCAAGGGTACTCCACAACCTCCTGGCCCCAGCTAGTTTCCTTGGGACTTCTTACCTCTTTTCTCCCTTGGATACCTTCCCCCATAGCCCTCACTGAGTCTTTCCAAGATGGGGACAGACCGCCTGCCACAGAGGGTTGGTTCTCAGTCTCTTGGCCCCCTCTCTTCCCCTGCAGTGGTGCAATTCCAGAGGCACACTCCCCCCACTCAACTGGACCCTCCTTTCACAGGCTCTCCCTACGCACCTCAGGGTGCACTGGCTGGGCCCCATAGTCCAGCAGCGCTGCGAAGAGGACCTCCGGCTCCCAGTTGGGGGTGTCCTGGACAGCCTGCAGCACGCAGTCCATGGGTGTGTCGCCCGCTGCGTTGGAGACTCCAGCACAGGCCCCGTGACGCAGCAGCAGCTCAGCCAGGGCCTCGCAGCCATTGGCACAGGCGTTGTGCAGTGGCGTGTGGCGCTTGCGTCCGGCTGCCCGGGCATCAGCCCCAGCTTCCAGGAGCTGGCGCACCACAGTCTGGTGCTTCCAGCTGCTGCCCGGGCCCTCGGCCCCTGCACAAGCAGCATTTAGGGCTGTCTCACCTTGGCTGGTGCGCAGGCCCACGTTGGCTCCATGCCGCAAGTAGAGAGCCACATGCTCCTCCAGGCCACGCGCAGCTACCACGTGCAGAGGTGTCACCTCGCTGTCCCTCGCAGCTACGTTCACGGTAGCTCCCGCCTCTAGCAGCAGCTTGGCACACCTGGGGGAAAGGCACAAGGTGCTAAGGCAAATCCTGATGGACCAAGGCCTGGCCTAGGAACCCCTCAGCCTGCTATCATCCTTTACCCCCCTTCTTCCCACCCCCTGCACCTGAAGGTCAGCCTGGTATCCACCATCGGACTCACAGAAGACCCTTGACAGACAGAAGAGCTGGAGGGCCCATGGAAGTCACCAGAAGCACCTTCAGTTTTCATGTGACAAAAAATTAGCCGAGAAAGGTCACCGTGCAGCCAAGGACACACAGCAAGTTAGTGGCTATAGCGGAACTAGAACTCATTGCCTCAGACAGTCCCTCCCAAGTCTAACCTGACTCCCCAATCCCACTGGGACCCCAAAGCCTGGTTCTGAATCATTTGTGAGTAGATAGTGCACACACACAAAATTGAAAACCCACTGTGTACACTATGAAATATAGAAAACTAATGCGTGTGAGTCAAAAAGAAAAAGTAGAAGTCCTGATATTTTCTTCCTGCCTCCAAACTTGAAGACCACCCTTCCAGACCAGCCACACCCACTCCAACAAAAGAAGGCACTTGGGGACCTACTCCACTTTCCTCTAAAGAAAACAAACAAAACCAGACAACAAAAACCAGAGTTTAGGAAGCACACACTTTTCACAGTCTTCTAGTTCCTGGAAAAATTACAGGCCAGAACACTGTAGAGGCAAATATTCATTGTTAACCACCATGGGGTAAAAGAAATACACAACAAACTACATTAATGATGAAACTAAACTAACAGTAATTTAGAATGGCAGCCACTGGAACTCAGGAGCAGATCCATCGACCCCAACGAAACCCTGATGACCAAGTGTCCTTCCCCTGATTTCAGCTCTCCAGTGTGCATGTCCAGTAGGCACTGTGCTCAATGGCCAAGACTTGACTAGCAGCCAGTCATTCATAACTACTGAATTTATTTCCTTGGTAAATTCTAATCATGGGCTAATCTTTGTTTCCAAATACTAAATTTAAATAACACTGAAAAGCTCACTCAGTAGGATTTCAGCAAGTGGAACTATTCTCACTTCACTTAAAAGGATAAAAGTCTGCTGGAAAGTGTACCACATGTCCATAAGAATTCAAGAAAGGGCTGGAAAATTTGGATCACTCTGGGCCCATCATTGATCTAGATCTAAGCAGGGGAGGGGTTCCCAGCATGTGTGCTATGGAGTGTCTCCAGGGAGCCCTTTACTCCTTACCAGGCCAGCCCTTTCTGTGAACCTGATTTGTAAAAGTGCAAATACCACCATGTAGGGGGTCCAAGAAACTGTTGATCTTAAAATAGTGGGAGGAGGACGACGTGTGTGGGGCCTCATACTAAGGCTGGGAAACACCAGGCTAGATCTTCACGCCTATCTCAAAACAGCTAGGAATTTGGCTGCGGTGGGTTCACAGGGAGTAAGATACTGTAGTTGGAACAGGGTTGTCTCAAAAAGCAACAGGGCTTTTGCCTTCTGGGCTTAGCTGATGTGATCTTAGACAACTCACTAAACATTTTTGAGTTCAGTTTCCTCAGTGAGACCTGTCTCCCAGGTTGTTGTGAGGACATGAGTATATGAAGTACTTACCCCTTCTCCAGGCTGTGTGAGACACACACACACACACACACACACACACACACACACACACCCACACACCCACACACCCCCCCCAAACCACCTCAAATGCTGGGCACCTACTGCAAGGACTCAGGGGCTGTGCAGAGGTGCAAGGGGGTTGTGCCTTCCTCAGACAACACATTGACCTTGGCACCGAAGGTCAGCAGCAGCCGCACACAGTCAGTCTGGGCCTGGGCACATGCCTCATGCAAGGCAGCCCTGCCCCCAACCCGGGCGTTCAGCTCAGCTCCCTGCCGGATGAGGTGGCGGGCGCAGTCGGTATAGCCTCGGCCTGCAGCGATAGTGAGGGGCACCGTCTGCTTGGTCTTGGGGGTCAGTACCCAGAACCCTGTGGAGAGCAGACAGTGTTTTGGTGGGGGGCGGGGGGTGGTGAACAGCCGATGCTGGCTCTCCTTCTATACCTCCGGTTGAGCACAAACTCTGGGCCAGGCCCTACCTGTGCGGAGGGGTTCACTCAAGCCCTGATTTGGGAGTGTAAGTGAGAACAGCCTTTTAGAACAGTATGTCAATCTGTAACAAAATATAGTATGTGTGTCACAGAAAAAAAAAAATTAATTGCTGTTTAAAACTTAAGGGCAACTAAGGAGGGTGAATCCTGTTAAGGAAACCTCTGGGTCTTTGAGCTGCTGATGGAGATCTTGCCTCTTTTGGTTCACGTGGGGCTCTGGTGTTATGAACAGGAGGTCCTGGAGTTGTTTGGAAGTGGCCAATGAGCAGAGCTGAAGGAACCATGAGTCTGGAGTTCTAGGACTCTCCTGGGGTGGGGAGAGTGGGGGTAGAAGCAAGGGAGGAGGGGAGAGGAGGAGAATGAGAGGTGGGGTGGGGAAAGGAAGAGTGGGGAAGAGTTTGATCATGGGATCAGTGTTGGATCCAAATTGTAGAAATAGTCAAGGACTTGTTTAAAGGACATAGATGCCTAATATCCAATTCTAAGTTGTTTGCATTATGGTGAAGTAAGTCCTAGGTTTCCTAAATCTTGGGTAAGGTATGTTTTATTTATTATGAGAATTGAAATAAGACCAAGTGCCATTTGAGGGATGATGGAGTTGATGCAGCCAAACACTGAGCCAAACCGGCTAGGGCTATCTTTCTTTTTTCAAATTGATTTGAGAGAAAGAAAGAGAGGGAGAGGGAGATAGAGAAAAACATCAACTTATTGTCCCACTTATTTATGCATTAATTGGTTGCTTTTTGTATGTGCCTTGACCAGGATCAAACCTGCAATCTTGGCATATGGGGAAGACACTTTAACCAACTGAGCTACCCTGCCAGAGCGGAGGCAATATTTTGTCGATTGAACAGGGAAATCTCAACTGAGGTATCTGGTTTACATGGACAAACCCTCTGGTCAGAATAGATCCTAAAGAAAGCAGCTGGCAAGTTCACAAAGATGTTCATAAAATAGTCTTTAAAAAAGGAATCCAATCTATTTAGGGGCTAGTTATATAAATCATGGCATTTCCATATAGTAGAATTTATGCCCTTATATAAAATATTATGTTGACTGCCCAGCCAGGCGTGGCTCAGCTGATAAGCATTGACCTAGGATTCAGGAGATTGCAGTTTGATTCCCGGTCAGGGCACATGCCCAGGTTGCGGGCTCGATCCCCAGTCGGGGGCGTGCAGGAGGCAGCTGATGAATGACGATTTTCTCATTGATGTTTCTATCTCTCTCCCTCTCCCTTCCTCTCTCTGAAATCAATAAAGATATATTAAATATATATATATATTATGTTGACTTATGGTTATTGACTTATGGTTACATGAAAAAATTAGGTTATAAAATAGCCTATAGATTATAATTTCATTCTGTGGAAGAAAATATTCATGTGTGGATATATATTCATAGAAAAAATTGCATTAGAATACAATTGTGTTCCTCTGTAATCAATATGTTAATATAACTTTAATTCTGATAAAACATACAAACCACTTACCATGTCTCATCTCTGTTTAGGAAGGAGCTAGAATGGGCAGTGGGAAGGGAGACTGTAGTTTGTGGTCTAGACAGGGAGGGGATGGGGCTGAGATACTCCGCCTTTCCCACCCCTGCCTCTTCCCTCTTCCTCCCCTTCTGCCCACACCTGCTGCTCCCTACCCTGTTCAGGCGACCAGGCCAGCTGGTTGCTCACAGTCTCCACAATCGTGTTGGCAGCGTCTTCATCTTGGAACAGGGCTTGGACCTGTTGCAGGTTGCCGGAGAACAGGGCATTGTGGACTGCTGGGTCTCGGCAGGAGCGGCGAGGCCTAGTGAGCCGGGCCCGGGAGCTTGGGGGGCACCTCTGGCTCCGGCACAGCTGTGCTGCCGCCCTGCGCCGGTCCTCCCACTCCAGCCACTCTCGCTGCAGGCGGAGAGAGCGCAGTGAGGAGGAGGTAAAGGGGAAGGTCTCTTCTGCCATGGGAAGGGGCCCAGGGGTCTGTCTGGTCAGTGGCAGCTGGGCAGAGCCCGGTGACTACCACCCTTGTTCTGAGGAGCCACCCTGCCCCCTCACCCGTGACCTAGAGAGAGCAGCAGCTGAGACTATAAATAGGCCCTTCACTCTCTGGTAAACACGGGTTGCCCAGAGTCCTGATCCTCCTGCAGAGAAGGTGTTGGGCCAACCCCTCAGCCACCCAAGGGTAGGGCCAGCCCCGTTCCCTGCTGATACCCTCCAATTGGGCAGCAGGTCCTTGCACCCCAGGGTCCACATACTCCCACTTCTCAGGAGTGAGCACCTTGGGTTGGAAAAGTCTGAGTTGAGTGAAACAGTCTATCAGGGAGATGGACAGGGCAGGGGGAAGAGCCAGAGTCCCCCAGCCTCTCTGCTATTGGCTGGAGGGCAGACCCCAGCCCTGGAAGTAAGGGAAGGAAGACATTGTTCCAACAGCTCTTCCCAGCATCTGAAATAATAGCAATAGCTCTGTACATGCATGCACAGGGCTTTACAATATTTAAATTGTAAATATCACTTTTATATCCATCTTTACTTGGCGACCATACTTCCTGGCTCACCTAGGTAAACAGTAAACTTGGTTTTGACAATAAAGTGTATAATCAGGTTAATTATTACACTTTCACACCTCTGAGGTGGGTGGTCTTATCGATGAGGAACTAAGCTTAACAAGGTAAAACTACTTGCTCAAGGTCAAGGTTACAGCTTGTGAGGGGTGGAGCCAGGAGTAGGACCCCAGCTGTCCTGACTCCATGGATGGTGCACTTTGGCTCCAGCTGCTGTGGCCACATGAGGGCGAAGACAGTTGTGAGCCTCCCCCACCCTCCAAGCAGGACAACATGGTCTCTAGAAACTGCCTTCAGTCAGTTCCCCCACCCCATCCCAGCGCCTAAAAGGGCTCACATGCCTGCCTGAGGGCCAAGGGCTTGACCTTTGCAACTCTGGGGACTCCCGACGAGTCCTTTAAGCCAGGAACCTGTTCACTCTCAGGAGTAAGCAGCTCTGCTTCCAGGAGCCTCTAGGGGGAGGAATGAGGCTGTGAAATAACATTAGCTGGTGTGGCTGCCGAGCCAGGCAAGAGGAAGCGGGAGGGATGCCAGCCCCTGCCTCAGATCTCCTAACCCAGAGCTCCCTGGGTGTGCAGGCAGGTTGGCCGGGCCCCATCCAGCCTTGGCTGCAGTGCCTGGTCTGTCTCCCTTGGCACTGTGGGCTCCTCCTGGCTCCTCTGCCCCTGCACTTCCTCCCCTCCCTGGTTCTACAGCAGCCCTTGCTGTTATCTGACTTATTTCCCTCCCTGATCCCCTCACACAAAAAGTTCCAGTTCCCATTCTCACATTTTCAGTCACCATCTCAATGTCTTTGTTGTTGTTAATCCTCACCTGAGGATTTTGGTTTTCCATTGCTTTTTCAGAGAGGGGAGGGGAGGGAGGGACGGAGAGGGGGAGAGAGAGAAGCATCAATGTGAGAGACACATTGACATTGCCTCCCACAAGTGCCCCAAGCCGGGGGCGGGGAGCAAACGCACAACCCAGGTGCGTGTCCTTGACCTGGAATCAAACCTGTGACCCTTCGGTGCGTGGGCCAGCACTCTGACCACTGAGCACACTGGCCAGGGTGACCATCTCAATGTCTTTAACCTGAACCAGCCCACCCTCCTACCTGTTCCTTCCTCAGGCCACAACCCCTCTGCTTCACTGCCTAAATGGAACAATCTAACTAAAATGGTTAATTCCTAGCCTGAAAACTTCTGCTGACTTCTGAGACCTTCCCTCTCCAACTAAGCCCCAGTTCCTTGGTCTGGCCTCATGTCATATAGCATTCTCATTGTGGCTCCTCACCCTTCCCTGCCATTCCCTCTGCTTGGCATTCCCTTCTGACTCATTCCTTAAAAGTCCACCTCAAAGGTCGCCTGCTCTGGGAGACGTCCCTGCAACAGCCCCAGGTCCCCCACTCTTCTGGTTCCAGCCACTCCCAATCCATGCACTTTGCAAAGTACACATCCCAGTGCACCGTAGACGATGTCTGCAGTGCTGGGTGTGGGCTCCAGAGGAGGCTCCGAATTTATTCAGTTAAGGTTTCTGGTCCCAGCATGGCCTGGCACACAATAGGTCTTGATGTGGTGTTTAGGGGCACTTGGCACATCGCAGGCTGGACTCTTATGTGTAGTGCATTGACTGAGGGCCCTGTTCTCTGCCAGAGCAAGCACTCATCTGCCTGCCCAAGTGGGTGGCAGCAGCCTGGGCTGTTTCCGGCCCTGCCTTTACCCTGCTGTTCACCCACTCTGGCCCCAGCTTCTTGGTAGTATTCCAGGGTGGGGGATCCCAAAGCAGCAATGAGATCATGCACAGTGAGGGCTTGGCGATCCTCAGAGAAAGGCGCCTCTATAAATGCAGCGGTGATTAACCCTGTTGGAACACATTCAGTGTTTTAATTGCCCCGCCAACGGCCTGGGCTGAGCACCCACAGCTGGGTTCCCAGGGTTGGGAGTTGGCAAGGCCAGGTGGGGCCAAAAGGGGCCAAGATGGGGTGGGCGTCCCCTCCCTCCTGAGGCACACCATAGTCATGGCGTGTGGGGCCCATGACTGTGCTGACCACCCGAGCCTCTCTGTAACCTTCTTGTCACACAGGCCTGAAGGTGCTCTGATATAGCTCAGTCCCCAGAGAGACCATGTGTTCTGTCTCCTGTCCTCAGCCTTAACTTCCCGAAGGCAGAAAAACTGTCCTTAGTGTTAACTTCCCAAGACCTTTACTTCAACCCACACATGAGGCCACAGAGAGCCCAGTTCTACTGGCAGGAGCAGTGCTAGATGATTGGATTCCCAGCCTGCCTTCTTGGAGCTTGGAACCTGTGGGGCGATGAAGCACACCTTGAGAAACCAGGACATCAGTGAGGACTGTGTGCTGTAGAGACCAGAGCTCAAGGGGGATGAATGGGGAAGGGCACTGCAAGCCAGGGGCACGGGGTGGTTTAGGTACAGGAAGACAACGTGGCCCAGAGCTAAGCTACAACGGCAGAGTTGGGGAGTTAGCAGTGGGTAGAAGAGAAAGAAGTGCAGATAGGAAGACCAAACGGGAGTGCGAAGGGGCAAGGGTGCTGGTAAATTAGCCCTTTCTTGCCCCTGGGCTTAGAACAAAAGCCTTCTAGGATGGGGCCCCACAGCAACCAGCAGCTAGCTGAGCATGGAGTTCTTAAAGCACTTGTTCACTTCAGCCTTGAGACTGGGATCCATGGGATCAGCCTCTCTTTGGGAAAAGGGAGATTAACACCTTCCCCTAGAACAGCACCAAGCCCATGAGAGGTCCCGACTCACAGCTGCTTAGTGAAGACAGGCAGAGCAGGGGAGGCTGGTGGTCAAACTGGGGTCCTTAACCCACACTCTCTCATCCATGAGTTGAGAGGATCTTTCTTCCTTCCCTTCATTCCAGAAAAGGAAAACAAAGTTGCCAACTTGGTACTATTAGACCTTTTATACCCCACCCATGCCCCTGTGCAACTCTGGTCTAAAATAGTATAGAGAAGCTACAGTAACCAAGAGTTGCTTGGCAACAAAATAAATACAGTAGTATTAGATTATAACCCAAAGCACAGAATAAATACCCATGAGTCCATACTAATATAAATGAATAAAAATGGAAGGAGAATAGGCCAATCTCCCATGCAGAATTCCAAATACTCTATGTGAATGCTCTTCCCTTAAGGAGGTAGAGTATAACTCCTCATGCCTTATGTGTGGATCGCACACAATGACTTCCTTCCAAAGAGGTCAGTACGGAAAGGGAAACGAAGGGTAACTTTACGGTGGGCAGATCCTACCTCAGCCGGGTGATCAAGGCCAAACATCAACCCTTGACATGATGTGATGAGAACAGCACCTTACCTCTGTGGTCTTCCTCCAAAAACATATAACCCCAGCCTAATCATGAAAAAAACATCAGGCAGATCCCAGGAGAGGGGCACCCTATAACATGCCTGAGCTGCGGTCCTCAAAGCTGTCAAGGCCATAAAACAAGGAAGGTCTGAGAAACAGCCACAGCCAAGAAGAGCCTAAAGAGACATGATGACTAAATGTAATGTGGGACCTGGAACAGAGACAGGACATCAGCAAACTGAGGAAATCGGGATACCGTATGGAGTTCAGTTAATAATAATATATCAGTACTGATTCTTTGTGGCAAAGCTACCACACAAATGTAAGATGGTAACAGGGGAAACTGGGTGTGGGGTATTATGGGAACTCCCTGTAATATCTTTGCAATAATTCTATAAATCTAAAACTATCTAAAAGAAAATGTTTATAAAAAAAAAAAAGAGAGAGAAAATGAGTAGCTTGGCTCTGCCTGGTCAAAGCACCACTGGCAGGGTGAACAGGACAAGGAGCGGTGGAGGATGGCAAGGAGAGGGAGGCAGGGGAAGCAGGCAGCTGCTTTATTTCCGAACAGGATACCATAGCCACAGCCCTGCCCCCGCACCTGTGAACCTTGGACACAGGTAAACTGGGCAGCTACAGGCCTCAAGAGACAAAGCAGAGGGAAGTCTGAGTGTGTTCCTTTCCTGTGCACAGGGACAGACTGGCACTGCTGTGGTGTGGCTCCTCTCAGCTCCTCAAGGATTAGGGATTAAAGGGACCAGGTCCAAAGTCCTCTAAAGTCAAGATGAGGTGGGACAGCGACACACCTTCCCTGCTGGCAGGAGAACAACGATGCGCTCCAGGGCTTGGAGGACAGCAGGGCAGGAGAGCCAGTCTTGGGCCAAGTTCTGGTACACCAAAGAAGACACAAAGTGACGACAGTGCAGGTTCCAAGGGACGAGGGAGTTCTCAGGGAAAGTGTCCAGGGTGGGAGCAACCACAGAAGTCCCAAGCTTTGTCTATTCTCCAATCATGCTGGTCTTCCTCCCCTTTGGGTATGATCAGACACAACCAGAGCCTTGCCTGGGTGCTCAGAGGCCGCCTGCTCATGGTGGGTACCCTGCCTTGGGGCAGTCCCAACTGCTGGTCCCACAGAAGAAGTCCTCAGGGAGCTCACTCAGGAGTCCATCCAGGTCATCTGCAGGGGGGATGGAGAGGATGGGCAGACTGAGTGACAACATTAGGGCTCCATGTGACTCCAGTCCAAGGTTCCTGCCCTTTAGGAGGGCCTTGACCTGGCAGCACAGTTAGGAGGTGGCTCTCCCTGGGCAGTGATGTCTGGGCCAATAGGCCTGACCTCCATTTTCCCTCTGTTCCCCACATACCCATACAAGACAAGAGGCAAGGGACCATTCTGCCAAGAAAGATACTCCCTTTGAGCCTCACTGGTTCCTCTCTTTCTTTCTTTCTTTTTTAATTTTTAAATTTATTGATTTTAGAGAAACATTGATTTGTTCCACTTATTTACGCATTCATTGTTTGCTTCTTGTATATGCTCTGACCAGAGATGGAACCCACAACCTTGGTATATTGGGATGATACTCTAACCAACTGAGCTACCCAGCTAGGGCCGGTTCCTCTTTCCACTCAGAGGCACAATGCCTGAGCAGGAAGGCTTCAGAGGTCGCCTGATGCAACCCTCTCATTGGACAGAGGGAGAAACAAGGCTGGGGAAAGCCATTAGATGCATTCAGAATCACAGAGACAATCTGGCTTCTCTTCTGAAGAGTGGGAGACAACATCATCCCCTCCCCCAAAGTGCCTCTGTGGGCATAGGGAATAAAGGTAACTGTTCCTGACTAGTCCTCAGGTGGGGTGCTTATGTCTGAGAATCTGGAAACTGAGCTGACCTCAGTAATCCCTGTTGCTCCTCTTACTGTTAACAATAGCAGCTAACATTTACTAAGTGCTTGCTCTGTGCCAGGCACAGGGCCACATATGTTACACTCATCACTTTGTTTACGTCTCACAGTAACCCTTCATAGGGCATCTTGTGGTAGTTCCTGCTATAATCCTTTACCTGAAAGAACAGGGTTTAAAGAGGTCCAACCGCTTGCTCAGGGTGAGCATAATTAGGCTCCATCTGATGCCATAGCCACAGCTTACAACAGAAAATTCCTGCTTAATGGATGGGATCAGGCAGCCGTAGAGTAAGTCAGACTGGAAACTACACCCGCAGAGCCTAGCTCTCAGTCTGGCACAAAGCCCATGATAAACATTGCTGCTAGAAGGTTAGAGGTCAGTTTGAGGCACTCAAAATTTAACTAAGGTGACTGGTGCTGTTCCCAGAGAAGTAGGGCTGGGATGTGATTATAACAGAAAAAGTTGCCCCTCACTAGCTACATTATGACTATTTGAAGAAACACTATATTAAATAAAAGGAACTGGGAATCAGAGTAAAAATTAGTATTTGTGTGCTGGCCGGTTTGACTCAGTGGTTAGAGCATCAGCCTGGTGAATGAAGGGTCCTGGATTCGATTCCAGCCAAGGGCACATACCTTGGTTGCAGGCTCGATCCCCAAACCTGGTAGGGGTGCATGTGGGAGGCAACCAATCAATGTGTGTCTCTCACATCAACGTTTCTCTCTCTCTCTCCCACTCTGAAAAGCAATGGAAAAAATATCCTTGGATAAGGATTTTAAAAAAAAAATTAGTATTTGTGTCTCCGAGCCTGTCCAGCTGCCTGCTTGGCAGGTCTGCCCTTACAGTGGAGATGTGATACCAGCCGCAATATTCTACAGGCAACTCTCTTCACTCTCATCCATGACCAGCAGCAACCTTCTGATGACGGTTTGGCTTGTCATGAAGCTTACTTACAAGGAGAGAGTGCAAGTTTCCAGAGAAGAGTCCAGCATAAGCGATACTTTTTCATAAGATATAAATAAATAGGCTTTGTGGTTTTTCCATTGGTTTACTGTGAATTTGGTTAATGTGGAGATATCTACCCATAATCCCATGAATTTTGGGGCCAGACAGGGTTGAATTTATGGAATCAAAAAGCTAAGAACCAGAACTGAACTGTCACCCAGGCTGACTTCACCTGGGTGATGCTGCCTCCTGAGGAACAAGCTTGTCTTCCCCTAAAACATCTGTGTTCGGACTTCTCAGATCTGTATCCTGGTCCACCCTAACCACATGGATGTTTGACTCCTCAGCATTGCCTGGAGAGCTTCTAAGCTTAGTTAGGATAGGGAAACCTGCCTTTGTGGCTGGCCATCAGACCACAGGAGACTCAAGGGGTGGCACAAGGATGGTGTCAGTCCACCTCCTCCTTGTGGCTAACAGCACATGGCCTGGAAATGGGGGAGACTAATGTATCACACACTATTTGCTTTATGTGGCCCCCATCACACTGTTAATTAGTTTGTGGCCTGTAGGTTTGCCAGAGAAGGCACTACATCTGATTTCCGTAAGATTCCGTAAGATCCAAAGATTCATGGAAGAAATAAGATGCAGCCAGAAGTATTTGGCTGAGCAAGTCAAGAGGAAATAGAAGGAGAACTTCTTTTGCTCCTCAGTGGGCTGATTGCCTTACCTGCTTCTGGGAGTTCTTCTTCCAGGGATGCCCCTGCCTCTGGGTTCCGTGCTGTTCTGAGGTCTTTTTTGGGCTTTGCAGTCTCATGCTGGAGGCTGCCATGGAAGCTACCTGGATCCTGAGGACAAAGGACCTGGTTACCAATGCCTGTGCCTTGAAGTCCCTCTGGACAGTACTATCGCCACCCAAACAACCTCAAAGGAACAGGTAAGGAAATAACCTCAGGAAAAACAGGGGCCAGTCATCCAGGCCCATGCTGCAGGGAGGGAGCTGAAACACCAGACAACCAAAAAAGCAGATAATTAAAAACACAAAACAGAAACAAAAACCTTTCTGGCTCATTTTCTTTCCTAATTCTATTTTTATCTGATGTTTTAGGGAATCTATATAACTGGAGCAGAAAGTAAAAGAGTCACTCAGAAATATGTTGAGGAGTCAGCCTGGGATTAGGAATTAGCTGTTAACAATCCCCAAACTACATAATATATGGACAGATCATTAAAATTAGTAACTAAACCATTAACCATGGTTAGCTCTGGGGAATGGGAATGGAGACATTAAGTTTCATGTTTTGCTTTATTGTGTACCATTTCAATTTTTTTCAATGAGTATGGATGACTTGAAACTTAAAAAGAAAAATAAAGATGATTTGTTTGAAGTGAGGTGATTTTGAGAGAATGTGGTAAGTTAAGTAGAAAGATGAGGGAAATGGAAGTAGCAAGTTAGAGCTAAAGGTGTAACTTGACTAGAAGTCATAGATTCTAACCCAATAGTTTTATAGATGAAGCAACAGCAGGGGAGGGGACAGGACTTGCCAAGGCCACATTACAAAATACTAGCAGAGCGGGGACATGACCAAGGTCTCCTGACCCCCAGGCCAGGCCATGACACAAACCCAGGATCCCAGGAAGGGTGGGGTTGGCCACAGAGGAGATATTGTGTGCCAAGTCAAGGCCAGGCTCTGCACTCTCACTCTGGATGGAGCTGTCTGGAAGGCCAGTCTCCCTCAGTTCCCAAAATGGGTGTCCCCACCTGAGCTCTGTGTGCATATCCCCTCACCCAGCAGAGGAAAGATGCAGAGCAAGTGCTGGCTCACCTGACAGGTCATTTGTAGCTCACTGTTCTCTACACTGCCACCTGTAGATCTGACCCTCAGTCATTTACTGAGCCCCCCCCCCCACAGTGGACCCTCACTTGGTTAGTTTGCAAGTGACTCCTATCCTCGCCAATGTTTAAGTCTGCCATTAGACTCTCAGGATCACCAAGAAGCCAGCTGTTCCTCTAGATCCTGTTACTGTGCCATCTGGCAGGCAGCTGGACCAGGGACAGGAAGAGATGGCCCTGTCCCCAAAGGCATCTCTTCAGCTCAGGGTGGAGTTGGGGAAGAAATCAGAAACCCCAGGCAAAAAGTGGCTCTAACAGTCGCCATCCCATCCCACTCTTACCTCGAGGAAAGGCTGAGATGGCTTGAGGAAGTTCCCATCCCCAGAATCTGGGCTGTAAATATGGACTAGGTTGTTGGGCGTCACATTGAGGTAGTGGTTTCGGAGTGAAGGAGAAAACACTCCAATCTGGAGTCAAGGAAGAGGAAGGTCAGTGCCCTGATGAAGCACTAGGTGCTGCAGATGGCCACCTGGTCCCTCCCTGTTTCTCCCTTGGTGGTCTCTGCACCAGGGTCACAAATTGCTCCTGCCCCAGCCTAGTGTCATCGTAGAACCACTAACCACACCCTCTTCCCCGCACAGCACAAACATCCATCCCATCAGCCCCCAAAGAATGGGGTCAGGCCTTTACTCAGCTCCAGTAAGCCAAGGTCCAGCAGTAGCCCAGGGAATCCTTGCCTGGGTACTGGGAGGGAAGAGAGCCACACACACAGCCTGGAGGCCTCCTCCAGGGCAGGAAAGGTAGAGAGCAGCTCCCCATACCTGCTTTAGCAGCAGCACTGAGCCAGGCTTCAGCTCATTCTGGCGTGTCTCAAGCAGCAACCTATGCACCGTGCCCTGCATCTCTCCTGCAAGTATCACACGGACCATCAGTCTCAGGGTCAAGGGCAGCACAGAGACTGGTTTGGGCCCTGGCTGGGAAGTGGACTGCTCACTATTTCAATGTTCCCAACTACAAATGGAGAGGGTGACTCTTCCTCACCTCCTGACCTCAACAAAGGCCACTCATCAGACACTCCCAGGACCTAACTCCTCACCTGTGGGGTCCTTGAAAACCACACTGGCATCCATTGCGCTCCGAGTCAGGGACTTGATCATCACTGCCATGTTGGGGACCTTGTTCCTGGGAAGCTGCTTCAGGGCTGCCTGATTGCAAGGAGAGGCATTTGCTGAGCCGGCCATGTCCCAGCTGTAAGATTCCCAAGTGTGCGAGGGCAAACTGGGGAGGTTTGGGGGGTGCAGAATACAGGTGTGGTGATGATCTTCCTTTGTGAAGGGCAAAGAGGCAGTTTAAAGGGCTTATTTCATCTCTCTCTGGCAGACCTTCATTTTTCTCCCCCTGCCTCCTTTTTTTTGTGTCTATGTATTTATATAGAGCTCTATCATGGCAGGCCATGGGCAAGGATCTGTTAGCACATATACTAACATGTATCTGCACATGACCCCTGAAGAACTCTAAGGGTAGTAGTGTGCTTACCCCACCCCATCCAGGGCCTGGCTATGCAGAGACATGCCCATAATACACTCTCTTCTTCTGCCTGTGCCCAATACTGTGGCTGGTAGTGGAAAGGTAGGTGAGTGAAAGATACAACCAAAGGGGCTTCATGCTGCAATTCAGAAAAAGGCCTGGGGTAAGAGGGAGCAAACAGAGCGCCTTTTCCAAGGTAGAGTAGGGCAGAAGGTTGGTGAAAGGACAAAAATGGTCTTCCTTTCGGGTCTCAGCCCCAGGACCCTTACCTTCCGCAGCACCATGACAATACTGCAGGTACAGAGGAAGCAGGTGGGGTCTTTCTCATCCAGGCCTAGGGCAGATTTCATGGTCAGCCAGGGCCCTCGCCCAAAATCCTCCTCCACCGATGTCTGGGAACTAGGAACAACCTGGCACCAGAGAGCAGAGGGAAGCCTGCATGAATGGGTCCATCTTGCTACAGACCTCAACTGCGACGGGATGGAGGGGTGGAAGAGAAAGGGCGAGTTCCCTGTAGATGGTGGCCAAGTGTCTTCTTTCATTTATCCCCAAGGTCAGAAAATGGTATGTGAAATCTTGTTGCATATCACATATCACTTAGCAGCAATAGCAAAGGTGCTCTTTATTTTGTTTTATTTTGTCAGGTCCTGACTTCAATTACATTGAAGGAAAAGGCTATCCATGCTTCTCTTGTATTAGGCTTGAAAAGTCTCGGTGCTAGGGAGCCCCCACATACACTTATAGGATTGCAGAGTGCCTTAGCGATTTTGAAACCAGTCATATTTTATTTGGGATGCGTCTGTGTTTAACTATTAACCTTCTTATACCAAAAAGTGCTTTGATTCATATGAGTATTTACTGCTTTAGATCTGAAGTGGACGGGTGGATCTGCAGAACTGCAGCAAAGAGAAAAATGACTATAGGGAATTAGGAGCAGAAGTCAGTCTGAGGGCAGAGCAGGTCAACCAGAAAGCCAGGGAGGAGGGAGGCTGAGTCTTACCCAACGAAAGAGAACCCACTGGAGGAAAGATAAAGGAAGGCCCTTCTCAGCTTAATTCTCAGAAACCTTCCTGGTTGGCGTGGCTCAGCGGTTGAGCATCGACCTATGATACAGGAGATTGCAGTTCGATTCCCGGTCAGGGCACATGCCGGGGTTGCAAGCTTGATTCCCAGTGGGGGACAGCAGGAGGCAACCGATCAATGACGACTCTCTCATCATTGATGTTTATCTCTCTCTCTCTCTCTCTCCCTCTCCCTTCCTCTCTCTGAAATCAATAAAGACATTTTTTTTTAAAGAAAAAGAAATATATTAAGATGATGATTAAAAAAACAACAACCTGAGAAGTGTTCCTGAAATACAATTTCCTAATACTTATTATATGGTTCTCCCAAGAAAAGGTGGAGTTAGCTGGGCCTTTCTTTCGTAGATGGGAAAGAAGGCTGGCTCATGGCATCAGGATAGGCTTCACTTTATGCCAGTAAAATTGCCCCCCCCAAACAGCCTTTCTCAAATGTCCTTTGGTGTGCAGCCCCTGGGAACAACCCTAGCAGCATCACCTCTGATTCTCATCTCCTGAAACATGCAGGGATGTCCCTCATTCTTTTTTAAAATGTCTTTATTGATTTCAGAGAGAGAAAGGGAGAGGGGGAGAGAGATAGAAACATCAATGATGAGAGAGTCATTGATCAACTACCTCCTGCACGCCCCCCACTGGGAATGGAGCCCACAACCAGGGCATGTGCCCTGACTGGGAATCGAACTGCAATCTCCTGGATCATAGGTCAATGCTCAACCTGAGCTATGCCAGCCAGGCTGTCCCTCACTCTTAAATGATGCCCAGGAAGTTAACACTTGGACAGAATTAGTTACCTCTGTTCGGAATTTAGCCAGAGCACCATGAGTTGGAGTCTGGGGCGCAGAAACCATGATCTCCTCCAGATTTTTCCCACCGTGCTACAAGAAGAGAGAAGGAGAAGGCGAGAGCAAGATCAGCAGCTGTTATTTACAAGTGCAGCTTCTTGTCTGGGTTACATAATGAGTTCAGGAAACTATCAGGGACAATTAACACATATAACATCTCTCCTAACAAAGTCTCCAGAGCCTCATCGGCAGCTCAAAAAAAGACGCTTTGGGGATAGTTTTGGGAATGTGAGGAAACTGGAGCTGGCCCAGGAGCAAAATCCAGGGTTTCCTGAAGGGGGCAATGACCTGAATAGAGAGGCCTGATATGCAAAGGGACAGCTTTCCCCAAGTTCCTTCTCAGGGACCTAACCCTCCCCTGCGGAGATCCAGCCCAGGAGGAATGTAGATGGCCTCCTTGGGTGTCTCTTAAAGTGCTAGGGCAGAGCAACTAATGGGTAGAAACTGTTTCAAACACCAGACCAGATCCTCAGAGTCCAACGATCTAGACTCTGATTCAAGACCAGTTTGATGGATCCTGCACCCCCCTCCCACAGCTGAAATCCAAACTCTGGGCACAGCGCCGGCTTCCCCATGTGGATCCCATACACCAGTCACAATAAACTGTTCCATGGCTCTCCAGGAGCATCCTGCTCTTATGCCTCTGTACCTTTGCACATGTTCTCCTGTCTTCTCACCAAAATGTCCTCCAGAGCCCAGCCTTCCAACGCACACACCTGTTAGCCTCCTACTTGTCCATCCAAAGCCCACTCAGCAAGCCCAAGGGACCCAGTGTCTCTCAACACCCAGGGAATGACCTCTACTCACTCCGTGCATTTTATGTATAACTGCTTGTTCACATCTGCTTCAACCCCTGGAAGAAGCTCCTTAGGACAGGAATTGTTTCTATTTTAATCTGTATTCTCAGTTCCAAGCAAATCGCCCAATTTTGCAATTCCTGCCTCAGTGCTAGCAAACAGTAGGTGCTCAACAAACGTATGAAAATTGTGAAGTTCTCAGAGACTTAAGCACCCCACCCCTCTCATGTGTGGTTTTTCAAGCATTCAATTCTTCCTTCCAATGTCTTTTGATTCTACCACAGATTTAAGGCATTACCCCTCTGCACTTCCTTCCTTCCTTCGCCTTCCCCCCCCAGGAGTGAAGATAATCTGGGACAGGACAGTGCTGGAACTCTGTTTCTTTCCTTTGCCCTGCCCTCCCCAACATCCTGGATGTTTTTGGCTTCTGCCACAGATGCTGTCACTCACTTGGTGAGGCAGGATTCCTGCTGGGCCAGGGAAGCGGCGTGTTTTGGTCCGGGTGGTGGTGCGGATGGGCTGCTGGGGCGTCCGGTTGGCAGCAGTAACCAGCTGTACCAGGTGGTTGGTGACTACAGGTGTCTGCAGAGCTGCTTGAGAAACCAGGGAGGAATGGGGACCCTTGGGGGTGCTGATAGGAGACTCGACAGAAGACAGTGGAACTCGGGGTTGTAAGGGCTTCTGAGGGAAAAACCCAGAGGCAGTCCTTGAGATAGTAGAACAGCTTGAGTTGGAAGTTCGTGGAAAATTAGATTTGCTACTTAAGTGGAGATTTGGAGATTGGAATGACTGACTGGGGACACAATTTTGAGGGCTGCTCTGAACAAGCCTCCCAGTAGCTTGGAGAGGCTGGGGTCCTCGAAGTAGGGAATCTTTGGGACAGACTTCCCAGTGGGTTTGCTGAGTAGCAACTGTTGAGGCAGTTGGGATACGCAGGTTACCCACAGCACCAGTTCTCAAGTAGGGCTGTGGAGTCCTACAGTGGACAACAGGATCTGGAGGCTGACCCTGGGCTGACGTGATACCAGTCATATGGGTGGCAGGCGTGGGGCCCTTTTGGCAAGATCTGCTCAGATCAGCTACCCGAGCCTTTTTAGCTAATACTGAGTCTTCCTGATGCCAGGTGGGCAGGATTCCTGTTGCCTCACTGTTAACTCCAAGTTCCAGCTCCATGCCAGGCCCTTCCAGTTCCATGCTTGCCAGGACCTTATCAAATTCATCTTGTTCAGGTCCCTCAAAGCCACCAGTCACCTGCTGTTTGCTCTCAAAGGTAAGCAGGGAGTGGGAGGCTGAGGACTGCGGTCTTGCTGGCTCTTTGAGCACTTCTGTCAGTGTCACTCTTCTCTGATTGCCAGTCCAGTTGCTGGAAGTGGAGACAGTCATTGGGGGAGCGGTTCCTGTGGAAGGTGGACCCCTCACAGCCCTGAGCATGCTGGAGGTAGGAAGGCGGAGTCCCAGGGTCGGTAGATCCAAAGCCTCTGAAGAAGCAGTGGGGCATAATGGCAGCTGCCCAGAAGACTGTGCCTGCGCAGTCTCCTGTGGCCTGGAAGAGACAGGTCTGAGGCACCCAGTATTCACAGGTCCTGAGCCGGCAAACTGGTTCTCTGCATCCTCCACAGCAGACAAGAAATCCTATAAAGCAGAGGCAGTGGGAAATCAAGAAACACTCTGCTTTTACTGTTTCAGGCATGGTGTATTTATATGTGCAGAAACACATAAGCAAGAAACCAAAGTATGAAAGGCAATGGGGGAGTCTCTCACCAACTTTGATCTTGTCTGTGAGCCCACCACCAGGCTTCTACCAGAAACATTCAGAGGCTGTCTTCAGGTAGCTTCTCTCTCTCTTTTTTTAAAAATATTTTATTTATTGATTTCAGAGAGAGGAAGGGAGAGGGAAAGAGAAACATCAATGATGAGTCATTGATTGGCTGCCTCCTGCACGGCTCCTACTGGGGATTGAGCCTGCAACCCAGGCATGTGTCCTGACCAGGAATCAAACCGTCACCTCCTGGATCCTAGGTCAACGCTCAACCACTGAGCCACACTGGCTGGGCTCTCTCTCTCTCCCTCTCTCTCTCTTTATTCAAGCTTGAGTGGGGGTTGGGAGGTGGGGGTGTGGGCGGTGGTGGCAGTTAGGGTAGCAATAGAAGCAAGTATACTAGGGCACCAAGGAGTCAAACAAATCACCCAAGGTCACAAGGAGACTAGCTTTCTGGTGTCCAGCCTGTGAAAGAGGGATTTGTCCAGCTGGTCATGCTGCTTGTCCTTACTCTCACCACACACACACACACACACACACAATCTTTCAGTAAGCCAGAGAGGCCTAATAGGCAGAAGTTAAATATAGCTTTTCAGGCAAGTTAAATTAAGTATGGATTCCAGAAGCAAGGTGAGATTGACACCTTCAAGAGCAACAGACCTGTTCCGAGGGTGTTTTTGAGTCAGAACTGCTGATTTAACTGACAGGAAGGTCCCCACCACGCCTGACTCCCTGCTGCCGCACTGGATTGTCTGGGCTAGAGAAAGGTTTTTTCCTGCTTTGTGTATTATCAGCAGAGTAGCATACTCCAGCACAACTGCCTTAGGATTTAGCAATAATAATAATAATAGCAGAATTACTGTAGCAGCAAAATCTGATGATGCTGGGGGTTGATGGATCCCTTTTCTCAGGAAGAGCTCACTTTCAGACATGATGTCATCTGCCTTAGGAAGGGGGAAAGGGACTGGTCATGGAACAGAAACTTGAGCTGCAGAGTTCTTCACTCTTAATTTCATTACCAGCCTAGCAGTCCTACCAACCCCCGGTGAGACCCAAGAGGGTCACTTTAACAGTCACTTTTTCAGTCTGTAATCACACATCTCCAAAGCTAAAAGACAAAGACAAGGACACATCTTCGTCACAAAGCTGGCAGTTTTGAATTATTTGTAAAAATAACAGACAAGTCCCCAAGTAATAACAAAAATATCTAACATTTGAAACCTCACTGGGTGCCAGGTACCATGTAAACATTTTACCAGAATTTTCTCAATGAATTCTCACATTAGCCCTAAGAATAGGTACTGTTATTATCCCTGTTTTTTGGATGCAAAAAGTAAGACTTAGAGAGGTTAAGTAACTTCACAGAACCAGAACTAGAACCTATACATGCCCTTGTCACTATGTCTTAGGGCCTGAATGGACTGATTTTTAAGAGGTCTGATAAAGACTGTTTTCCCCTTCAAACCTCATGTTTCAAAAGCCTCTGAGAAAAGAGTGTGGTGTTGGGGCTGCCAGACGGGTCGCTGATGCAGCATTCCCATCATACTCAGCACAAATTAGACAGCTGGACAAATTCTAAATGTGATTTTTAAAGCAAAGCGCTGGAAAACAAAAAGTAGGTTTGAATGGCTTGTCATTGATAAAACTAAGTAATTTGATTCTATAAATGTAGTTTAGTAATTCCCATGTATGTTAGAAGTGAGTCAGGTGCCAAGGCCTTACCCTGGCTGTTGGTGCTTTATTCTTCCGAGGTTAATTTACCTTTTTGGGCTTTACTCACTTAAATCCTACTTCTTTGTGAAAAGGATTTGAAGTCACAATTCTGGGCCTCCCAAATAAAACTATATCCTTTGGATCTGAGCAGGAAGAGAGTTACGGGGATCACTAGTTCAGTAGTCCCTGGCTACACCCAGAGGTAAGAAATACCCCTGCCTGGGTCCACCCCAGAAAATTCTGATTTAACTGGTGCGTGTCAGAGCCTCAATAGGGGTGATTCATGTGCCAGTTTCAGATCTGAGGAGAGAAAAGGAAAGAGCATTTGAGGCAGAACACCTCCTATGTTGCAGAAGAGAAAAATGGAAGGCCAGAGAATGAAGTAATTTGCTCTGGCTCACATAACCAGTTGGTGACCCCAGGCCTCCTGCCGTTCAATAGCTGTGCTGTCTCTGGCTGTCCATAAACTTTCTTCCCACCTCAAGTATGTCATCAAGAAGGTGAATCAACCTCAGTTGGTTGGAGTGCCATCCCATGCACCGGAAGGTTACAGGTTCAGTTTCCAGTCAGGGCACATGCCTAGGCTGCAGGTTCGAACTCCAGTTGATCCCCAGTTGGGGCACAAGTGTGGGAGGCAACTGATGGGTGTTTTTCTCTCTCTCCCCCTCCCTTACTCTTTCTCTAAAATCAATAGAAAAGCATGTCCTCGGGTGAAGATTAAAAAAGAAAAGAAAAAAACGGTGAATCAAATCATCCACAGACACAGCTTCCAGACAAGCGCCCTTATAATTTAAAGGTATGACAATCAGGGAGCTTGTCTATCTTTTTATTTATTTCTAAGACAGTTAAATAAGTTGTTTACATTTCTCATCATTCCTCAGCCTCTCACAGACCAAAAACAACGTACATATCAAATAAAAGGAGACGGGGGCAGATTGCTTCAAAATGTTCCGGGCCTGGGTGTTTACATCTTAAGACCTCCTCTGTTCACCAACACTTCCTTACCTCGTCTTCAAACTCCTCTTCTACAGCAAATAGCTTCTGCAAACTGCATGCCTGAAAGGAAAACAAAGCAATTGAGGTTGGAGGAGAAATACCGTTTGCAAGTACATTCTGTCCTCACTCTGCTTTTTCCCACTTCTAACAAGACCATCAGGTGTACTGTTTTTGGTTTGTTTTGCTAGTGTTGGGGGAGGAATAAGGGATGAGAAGAGATGGGATTGACTTAGGACTTAGATCGTTTTTTTTATTTTTATTTTTTTTAAGGACTTAGATGATTTTAAACCCTTTCTCCACAAAACAATCCACTAAGGTCCATCGGCATTAATCTTGGAAGAGGAAGAGACAAAGGAAAGGCTGCCAAAGGAAGCATGGGTCATTCTTTAGACTCAGCACTGCGCACATGGGCATGAGAATTTTGCAACATCCCAAAGGTCTGGCCTAAGTAACCTTTGTCAAACATAAGACACGACCGTAAATCCAAGCACGCCTAGCACAGTGGCCTTGTTTCTGAAAGCCAAGCCAGTGGTTTCCTTCAATCTAATCCTATGCCCAAAGGCTAGGGTCCCAGGAAGGTGGGACGCCCCAGGTCCACAGCTGCTTCTTTCCAGGCAGCAGGGCCGCAGTGGTCAGCTCTAAGATGTGTGTCCAACTCAGAGCCAAGGGCTGTGCCTAACCCCGGATGCTCGAGCAGCAAGGGCTCCAGTTAGGGAGACCTACCCCCAAGTGTCCAAGGATCAGGGTGGACGGTTGGGGGGAGAGGGTCGGGCTCAGGAGGCGTGACGTTTGAGCGCACCGGGAAGATGAACAGGAGTTCGCCGAGAAGAGATGGAAGACCACAGGAGGGAAACAGGCCCAGAGGGAGGGGGTGGGGAGAGCCTTTCCAGGGTCTCCGGGCGCGTCCACGCCAAGCCCTGACTCGAGCCCAGGTTTCCCGACCTCATCTAATTCTCACCCAAACCCTAAACCGGCCCTGCAGCTCGCCTGGGTGAAGGGCTGAGCCCCGGAAGGCCGTTCCCGGGCCCCGGACCCACAGGCCCGGCGGCCCCAGGCACGGTATTACCATGGCGACGGCGGGTGAGCTTCCGCCAAGCGTTAGCGGGGTCGACCCCAACTCAAGTGGTCGCCGGGGCCTGGGACTCCGCCCGCGGCGGGAGGGTCGGAGTCCGGGTGACGGTATCTCTGGGGCGAGGTGGGAGAGGTCCCTGCGACCCGGGCGGATACCAAGACAGGGTCGACAGGAAGGCGACTGCCGGAGCCCTAGGCCGCTTTCGAAGCCGCCGCCACTCCAGCGTCTCCGCCCTCTTAAAGGGGCGGGCCTATTTTATCCCGCCGACACAGAAGCCCTTTATCCGCCAGTCTTCCGCCCCGGCCTTAAAGGGAAACGCATGGGCTCTCGGTCGCCCTCCAGCGGCTGCTCGGGACGGGTCGGCTGGTTCAATACGCGTTCTGGTGAGAGCAAGGTTGGCAATTTGGGCCCATTATGCCCAATCCTGCCCAACCTCCTCTCTTGTGTTAAGTACACGAGGGAGTGGGTACTTGATCATGACTCTCATTCACACCAGAATCCACCCCATTGGTTTGTCTGTCTGTTCATCTTTCCATCCATCCATCAATCTTTGCAACACATTTATTTAGTAAAGATGTTCTCCGTCTGGCTCTTTTCATCCTTCATGTTTCAGCTGAGATCTCAGATCTCCCTTGTCATCTATTCTCTTGTGTAGCATCACTCCCCCATCACTATTTCCTTCTCAGCACTTTTCATAATTTATAATTATCATGGTTTACATCTTTATTGTGTGTTTTTCTCACTTGAATATGAGCTCCCTGAAGGCAGGGACCTTTGTCTGGCTTGTTCAAGTTCGTATCCCCAGCACTTAGCACAATGCACAATAGAGTTATTGAATGACACAATGGCTACTATGTATTGGGCACCATGCTTGACCCTGGGGATAGAGAAATGAATGACTGCTTGTGCCCTCAAGTTCACAAACAAGTCAGGGAGACACAGATCAAAAGACAGAGTCCAGGAGATTTGTACAGAGAGATGGGCAAGGGCCTAGTGAGCTGGGAAGTCCAGCTTTTGTCACTAAAACCTACTGTGGTTAATGTCTCTCAGTCCAACATCAGTTTCTCTTCTTGCTTATCACTACGGGACTAGTCAAAATGACAGCTAGGGCTGCATACCTTTGAGGACTCAAAAGGCAAGAGGAAGGTTGCTGACTCTAGTTCTTAGCCACATGACCTGAGCCAGCCCTGAATCTTCCCTAGGGTGGTCTGGCCTGGCCTCACCTCTGACAGCCTATGGTTTCCATCATAGCGTCATGTGGACCAGTTTTCATGTCAAATGTCAGAATGGAGGCCAGAATGGCAATGGGAAAGGGAAAGTGGACTCATAACTTTCATCTAAGTTAGCAATCCCCTCAAGGCCTCTGTACTTCTGAACTGGGGGACAAAAATCCCAACCCTCCCATTTACAGCTCTCCTCTCCTTATAGGAATTCCAAATACAACTCATCCTGTACCACTGTGGATAATCATGGAGACCCAGTTATAGGGCTCCCTCTGGATCTGACCTCTGTCAGCTCAGCTTGACAGGAGATCACAGAACCCAAAAGGCCAAGAGGAATAATGATTAACTCCTATCCACACCGTACTCTGCAGCTTCTGATTTTAACCAATAGCTCATTTTGTGATCACAAAAATCCTATAAAGAGTGAGGGACATGTATTATTTTACATGAATTAATGCACTGAAATGGCAACTCCATGGAACATTGGCAGTGGCTCAACAATGTGGGTTCCTTTCTCCCCTACTGGAGTTTGCAAACATGTGTGAGATTTGTTATGGGAACTACATGCCTTGAGTGTGCATCTATTTCAGCATATTTGCAAATGCATTTTGCCCTAATTTGTATTTTTATCATATGTACAGTTGTATGCAAATCAGTGTGCTGATGGATGTCTTTATGTGTTTCTATTGACATTCACCTTGGTATGGAAAGTGGCATACACTGGCATGGTTATACCCACACTGAGTCTTGAGTGGTTGTGTTGGTGGGTGGGTGTTGCATGTTGAGTATGTGTGTGGAATGAAATTGTGTTATGTGCAGCATATGAGGGTGGGGGTCTGAGTGTATGGAGGTGGGGAAGGGCTGGTCTGTTTGTGTGGCTTTGTGTATGTGAAGGCTGTGTAGACCAGAGCAGTCAGATAGAACTTTCTGTGTCTATGGAGATATTTCTATCTGCACTGTCCAATACAGCAGCCACTAGCCACGTGTGGCTATTTAGCACTGGAAATGTGGCTAGTTAGAGCAACTGAAGAGCGAAGTTTTAACTGTATTTGATTTTAATTAATTTGAATGGTAAACTATAGACAGAAACTTCAAACTTGTTCTCCACAGACCAGTGATATGCAGCCCCCTCCCTCTTAACAGGGAGACCCGTCTAAAGTGTACTGATCCCAGCGGATAAACGAACCCCCTGGAGCGCCCCCNGCCCTCCGCGCGTGTGCGTGTGGGTGTGGGTGTGCGTGTGTGTGCATGTGTGTGTGTGTGCGCGCGCGTGCATGTGTGTGTGTGCGCGCGCGCAAAAGATGTACAGAGGGGGCCATCCGCCTCCCTGCTTCCCAAGTCCCCAGGCAAGCAGTGAATCAGCCTGACAATGGGGTGAGTCATTCATGAACTGCTCTGGCGACCCAGCAGGCGGGAAGCAAGCGTC